CCTCTTTCAGTAGGTGACTTGACTACAACCTTAAACTTCCTAGTGCTCTTTTCCATTGCAAGCTGCACATTTTTTCATCCTATCTGACTTTTTTTTCATTATTGACCTACAAAAGAGTAATCAGTAATAACCACCACAGGCTCAGTGTTATACTGTATTGGAATTTCCTCTACCCAATAAGTTTATTTCATCCTCACAGAAATTCTCAGGACATGGATGGGATGCAGCCAGATTCTTTGCCAAATTATTCCTAAATGGCCTCTAGCCCATTGTTAACAGAGACCTTGTCCTCCTCTGAAACCTCATAAGCTGAGCCCCCACTTTCCATATTTCTCTCAGCATTACTATCTTCTAAGCATCTAGAATGGCCCATTAAGCTCTGTTTCCAGCATTCAGTAGTTTTTCTAACCCACAGTTTCAAAATCTTCCACGATCTTCCAACAACAAAAAAAGGCCTAAAAACCACTGTTCAGGTTCACCACAGCAATGGCCCAACTTCTCAGTACCAATTTCTGTATCAGTTTATATTCTGTGGCTATCTATGATAAAATACCCTGACAAAAGCAACTTTAAGGGAGAACAGGCTTGCTTTGGCCTACAGCTCCAGAGGAAGACAGGGCAATGATGAGGGAGGCATGGTGGTAAGAGCAGGAAGCTGGCTGATCACATTGTGTTCATACACAGTAAGCAAAGAAGGAGAACAGAAAGTGGGGCCAAGCTACAAAACCTCAAATCCTTCCTCCAATGACATGCTTCCTCCAGCAAAGCTCCACCTCCTAAAGGTTCCATAACCTTCCCAAACAGCTCCACTAGCTAGAGATGAAGTGTGGGGTGGGGTTCATTTCACATCCAAACCACAACAGTACCTGTGCTTATTTTAATGGGCAAGCTCACTTGGCTATTTTGAGATATCTTGTTCCTAGCTTCTCCCTTTCTCTCTCCCATACAAACTCAAAGTTTAGAAACATTTAAGTGCTAATAAAGAGATTTATGATCTTAGCTGGACTAGTCCTTTCATTTTACAAATGAGAACAAAGGAAGTCCTAAGAAGTGAAATGTTTTTACCAAATAATTTTCCCAAGATCAAGCATCCAAAAGGCTCAATTTTGTTTTGTTTCATTTGATCTTGGTAGGAACCTGTGTAACAGTTTAGACAAGTGCAACTTTATATAATAGATGAGCGTCCTACTGGTTGTATTTAAATAGAGTCTTTGTAAAGCAAACTATAGGTACTACATGTACCAATAGAAGTTTCTGGATAAGAAATACAACATAAACACTTTGGGGTAGAAACAAAGAGCTTTCAAAGATAAAGACAACTGTGGCATGGCTCCTTGGCTTCTCAGATCCCCACACAAGAGCAAACATCAACCCATGGACAATATTTAAAATAGAACAAGGTCAAACTACCCCTATGAATCCCACATGTGAACAGTGGGAAACACTCAAGACACAGTCAACTCCTACATCACAGAAAGTATAGGACAGACTTGGGAACTTGGCTGGTGTAAAAGTGAGATCCACAATTGTTAATGTACAACACAGAAACTTGAGAACAGTAGCTGATATTATAGAAAGTTTGACTTACTCCAACAGTAGGAGAATACAAAAACGAATACCATAAGGTCTGAGCTACATGAACTCCCCAAAGTGATCAAACGGGAACCTCCCAGCGATTTGAAACTATACAGTGATACTGCTAATGCTAGAATCAAAGGTAAGTGGGGTACAGAAGAAACAGGAAGGAAGGGAGGGAGGGAGGGAGGAAGGGAGGGGAGGGAGGA